GATTCTTCTTCCCTAATGCTCTGGATGAAATTGTGTCCCACACCACCAAAGAAGAGATGTTAAATTTGTAACCCTCAGAACTAAGAACGTGACCTTATTTGAAAACAGGGTGGTGGCAGATGTCATTATTAAGATGAGGCCATAATGGAGTGGGGGAGCTTCCTAATGCAATGTAACTGGTGTCCTTATAACAAGACGGCCATAGGAAGACCAGGAGAACACCAACAGAAGATAGAGGCACAGGTAGGGTTTATGTGTTACAAGCCAAGGAATGCCCAAAATTGCCCTCAAACCACTACGAGACATGAAGAGGCAAGGAAGGATTCCCATGCAGGTTTCAGAGGTAACATGCCCTGCCCTAGGGTTTTGTACTTTTAGCCTCCAGAACTGAGAGGCAGTAAATTGTTATTGGTTAAGCCACTCAGTTTGTGGTACTTCTAGGATGTGAGAGGGAGATGCTGGTCGTTTCCAATTGGACAACTTGAGGACATTATTCTTGACATACAATGAACAAAATGATGGAGCAGAGACTTCATTTGCTGGACAGGTTGGTTGGAAGCAGAATACACTGAGACACAAACAATTCATAACCAGAAGCAAACCAGTGCTTCACGCAGGTGTGAGACCAGTTATTTTCATATTTTAATGCACACACAAATCATCTGGGGATCTTGTAAAATGTGGCTTCTGATTCAGTGGATCTGGAATGGGGCCTAAGATTCTTCATTTCTAAAAGCTCACAGACTATAATATCTGCATGCATGTTTTACATCCTAAATACGTAAGATGGTGTGAAATAAAAAGGAAAGCCATTTACAGACAAGAACTCAAGAGACATCTCAGACAGAAAGACTAAAGTCTTTTGATTAAAGAAGAATTCTACAGCCCGTGTATCCCATCCACAAAGGCCGCCTGTTCAGGCAGAAGCCCTTCTGCTCTTTACGTCATTTCAGGGACTTTTCCTCCTTAACTGATGCTGCTGGGGTCCTGGCTCTGACCTGTATTGGTACCTGACTCTCCAGAACACAAAGGAAGAAGAAGAGAATGACTCCAACTGTGGAGCAAGCCATGGTAGTGAGAACAGATACATGTACCATAGTGACAAGGCAGGGGCAGTGAGACAAACACCTCAGGACTGGTCTGCCCTGATCCATATCCCTCCCACTGGCTTGACTTGCAGTTTAGCCTCCCTCCCTGCTGTGTAAATTTCCACCTTCCCTGATATTTGGTCATTCAGCACCTGCCTATGAGAGTGATGCGTGTTTGAATGCCCTACCTGGTCTTGGTCCACAACAAATGTCTTCACATGTTGCAAAATATTTTCTCAGGGACTTCTTGAAATATGAGAGTTTATACATGGACAAGTATGGCTGCTGACACCCACCTGTTCCCTGATGGTTTTAGTTTCCAGGTTATTGTGCTCTCATACTTCTGTTTAAACATCATTGTCAGTTCCTCTGTCCCCATCAATCTCATGGCTAGTTATGTATTTCTTGGTTGAGTAGAGCTCACAGTAGGATATTCCATTGCTGAAATGTTTTCTCTGATAGCAACAGAAATAATAAGATCCCTAAAAATTAGAGGGCAGAGATGCCTCTTATTATTAGAAAGAAAGTGAATAAAATTATACCAAATAGCACAACCAGAGAGGACTAACACACAAAATACTGTGGGCATGGCTACTAGAGCAAGGTGTTCCAGGGCAAAAGGCAGACAGTAGCCACCCAAGAGACTGTCAATCTATACAGCCAAAGATAAAGAATGGGTGAACAGGGGATGAGTGGAGCCAGCCTAATAAAATATGTTTTATGGCCCAGTTTATTAAGTTGACCCATTTTTCATGCCCAGAAACTTCTAACTGAAATTTAGGCTAGATCCCTGTGAGATAGTCACCACTTAACCAAAGTATATGGTAACAATTCTCCCAGTGCCGCCCCAAAGTGATCTATGGTCACTTACTTGATTACCCAGGGCAAAGGACATATATAGATATTTTGAATGTTGTTGAGCACGTGATCCAAGTCACATTAATACTCAGGAACCAAAAGCATGATCAAGTCCCCAAACACAGTAGGACATTGGATGTCTAGTCTAGGAGAGGCACAGCTTACAGCAGATGTATTGGGTCCATAGAATCACCCAATGGACATATTTCCATAATTGTCCGTAGAATCCCCACACTTGTTTATTGTCCTGGTGAAGAGGCCAAGAAGTAAGAGTATGTTAGTTGAGAAAGCCAAGAGACAGCCTCTGTAATCTTGCCTTGTTCCATTTTCTTCAAAGTAGAAACTCTTAAAATAATATTATTGTGGGAAAATAGAGATTAGTGCTATACTTAATAATGCTGTGTGTTGGTCCCCATCACATCTTCATTTCATTTAATCTAGCTTCTAAACAACAACCAATACAGATGGATGCTGCAAGATGAACTCAGAAAGTAGTATCCTAACTGCCGCTGCGGTGCTTGATGTGCCCTGTTTTCTGGAGCACATTAACACTGTTTCAGTTAAATGGTGCAGAGCCATAAATCTTGTGAGAGCAGACTTTCCCTGTCTATCAGCTGGCAATATGGAGTATCAGACACCATTCACACTCACATGGAATGGACAGCAGTATACTTAATGGGTTACCCAAAATTGTTTATGTTTCCTCTTGGCCAACACATCCACCAGATAACTGGACCATCTGCAAGTTCTATAGAACCTCACAGTGATACATTATATTGCTAACATCGATTTGTATGAACAAGATGAGCAAGAGGTAGGAAGTACATAAGGGCTGCAGGGGAGAGGAGGCACACCCTATTAAGTATCAGGGCCCATCATACCAGTGAGTCCACTAGTCCACTAAGTCTGTGACATTTTTGAGTACCTTTAAAAATAAAACAATAACAATATCTAACAATTTTCATTCATAAAATGGAATCACAACACTCTGCTTCTGGAAGTACATGATCTACCATTGGGAAAAATGCTGTGACTCATTTTCAGGTGACCAAGAAAGATACCAGGTGTGATGAATCAGACACACAAAGGTTCTGCATACTCTGTACGAGACAAGTACTCCTGCCATTGGGACCATACAGTTCTGTGTAAGTAGAGCTGCCTGTCATGAGAAAAAGAGAATAATTAAAACACCATGTCTGGCAAACACTAATATCATTAAAATGTATCCTCTAATGTTCCAGAGCAATAGGGAACTACAAACCATTCAAAACTTCTGGAATGTTCCTGGGCCCTGGAAGAGACAAAGCTTCTAACTATGGAATGGTTGACAGATCATGTGGCTAGATATTACACAACATTAGCTGAGTTTAAGGGGACCCTACGTTAGAGAAGAGAACGCAAGATCCTGGCTCTTCCACTCATCACAGATGGTGTCTGTGTGTGAATTAGAGTTAAGAAGCAATGAGGTGGGGGTACATTTAAGCTTTCACATACTCAAATTCCTTCACCAGGTTTCCTGTCTGTAGAATCCCAGGCACTGAAAGTCACCTCCCGAAGGAACTCCAGACCTGAGAATAAGAGTGGGAGAAAAATGGAAAAAGCTGCCAGAGGGCATCCTTTCATCAGTGATGGACACTAAACGGGGGCTGTAGACAGACCCTGGAAGAGGAGGGTTAGCTGTGGGCTCTGCAAGCCCTGCACCCCCCTAACACATGGTCACTGACATGAAACACTCAGTAGCTGTGACCTGCCAACACGGCTGAGTACCCCCCCCCCCCGGGGAGGAGCTCATTTGCATGGCAGCCCTGCCCCCACAGGTAGTGGGAGTTATAAGGAGAGCTGTGCAGGCCGACTGTGCTGAGGGGTCTTGAGAAGCACAGCACTGGGGCGCCTACACCATGGCCTGGGCTCCTCTGCTGCTCACACTTCTGGCTCACTGCACAGGTTGGGGTACTCTCTGGGCTGGGGTGGGAGAGGACACACCGCACTTTCATGCCTCTGTCCCTCTGCTGACCTTTTCTCTCTCACCTGTTCTCAGGGGCCACTTCCCAGGCCACGGTGACTCAGGAAGCTTCACTGTCCAAATCTCCTGGAGGGACAGTCACCCTCACCTGTGGCTCCAGTACTGGGGCTGTCACCACCTCTAACTATGCCCACTGGGTCAAATAGAAGCCCTATCAGGTAGCCTGGGGTTTTACAGGTGACGCCAGCAACTGGGTTCCAGGGGTCCCTGCCCGATTCTCCAGGTCCCTCCTTGGAGACAAGGCCGCCCTCACCATCACAGGGGCCCTGCTTGAAGATGAGGCTGAGTATTACTGTGCTCTGTGGAACAGCAACTATTTCCAGGTTGGGAAGTGAGACAAAAACCACTGGCTCAGTGAACTCTCTGCTCCTAATATCTCCCATCTCCTGTTCACAGAGGCTGCGTGTAGTTAGTGTGGGCTCAGGGGGCTTGCTGTCCATGGCCCCAGAGGAGGCGTTCAAGTCCACTGTAGAAGCTTTAAAATGTTTTAATTTTAATCCTCTACTTTATAATAACAATGTGTTCAGAAAAGCCAGTCAAAGATATACGATATTTCACTAGGCAAAGGCTTCTTTATACATATTTGTTTCTACTGGATAATGAAGAGGACTGTAGAAAATATCTGCGTTTTTAAATAATTTTAAAACATAATTACACTCAAAAATAAAGAAACCAACAATTCAATTATAAATAGGCCAAAGTTCTGAAAAGACACCTCAACACAGAATATGTACATATCGTAAATAAGCATATGAAAACATGCTTAGCATCATATGTCATTAGAAAATTTTAAATTTCACTTTGAGGGGTGTAAATGTTTTATCATTACATTGTTTTATACATCTGAAACTAATAATTTTTAAAAGTTGTGGGACATAAAGAAAAAGAAAAAAAGCAAATTAAAACAACAATGAGCTACCACTGCACACCTATTAGAAAGGCTAAAATCCAAACACTGACACCACCAAATACTGGTGAGGATATGGGACAACAGCAACACCCATCATTGCTGGTGGGAATGAGAAATGGTACAGACACTTTGAAAGACAGCTTGGCTGCTTTTTACAAAATTAAATCATTTTCTTACCTTATAATTCAGTAATCACACTACTTAATATTAACCGAAATAAGTTACGAAGTTTCTAAGACATCAATTAATTTTCAACTAGTATACACAATTATCATCTTATGGTCTGTGGTGAGATTAATTTGGAAATAAACTGGACCCATTTAAGACTCACCTGAGCAATGAGATCGTCCCAAAGGAGCAGGTCCCTTGAATTTGCCATGGACTGGGAGGGGGCAGTCAGCAGGCATGGGTGGAGGCAGGACCTCCCTCTAATGGGCCCCTGACAACCTATCAGGGTTAGGGATGGACCAGGGCCTGCGACAGCAGGGGGTGCTGTGGGCCTGTCCTTGAGGATGATCACAGCTGTGAACCAGCCTCAGAGCTTCTTGTCTCTGCTCAGTGCTCACTGGCGCCCAGCAGCCATGTCCTTGTGCCCCTGTGACCCCCGGGCCACACCCACCACAGCCAGGAGCTGCTTTCTCAGGCCAGCTTATGGCTTCTGCTTTTGCTGCTGCTGCCACCATGGACCCAAGTTCATCCTCCTCTCCCTTCTGTCAAAGTCACTCACAGAAGCTCATTCCTAGACAAAGGTCTCAAAGGAAACAGAAAGCTTCTTTCCCCATTGGATGGGACACAGAACCTCTTTGCACTGAAATTCATGGACTGGGAGTGGCAGGCCCAGCTATGGTCATCTCAGACCTGACCTCTTGCTGAGGAATTTTCTGTCTCCACCATCAATCCTTTCCTTATTTCCAGGACTTTCCAGAGCAATGCCATCCTGTCATTCTCCTCAATGTGAATCCCTGTGGTTTGTGTTCTAGACTATTTATTATATAACTCTTATTGAGAAATAATTGAAACTGATTAAACTGCCAATGTTTATAGTGTACAATTTAGTATGTTTTGACATATTTACATAACTTGGAAAACATCAATACAATGAAGATAGTGAATCTATCCACCCCGAAAGCCTCATCACACGCCTCTGTAATCCTCCCTCCATCCTTTCTCACAACACCTCAGGCACCACTATCCACTTTCTGTGACTAGTGTTCAGTCTCCACTTTGTAAAGTTCATAAATGGAATCATACAGCATATGTATCCCTTTTAATCTGGCTTCTTTCCCTCAGCTTACTCCTACTGAGTCCCTTCCATGTTATTACAGAATTGCCCTCAATCATACAGAGGATACGTCATGACCTTTGAGGTCTCTAGATATGTTTGCCTTAATGGTGTGTGTGTGTGTGTGTGTGTGTGTGTGTGTGTGTGTGTGTGTGTATTTTATGGCTGCATTGGTTGTAATCCAGGGTGGAGTATATTGATTTTCCTCTGATCCTTTAAAAAAAATCTACTGTATTTCCCTGGTTCCCTAAAAACACCGAGTTTTCTGGGCACTGGGCCTGATACTCAGCCCTGCTTGCATCTTCTGTGATTACTTACTCACCTGTAACCAGCACTGAATAATTTTGTTGAATCAGTTTTTCTGATTTTGAATAGGTAATGCATACAAAACAGGCCAAATGAAAATTATAAAACAGGACTCCCTCTCCTCTAGCTTCTATCCTGGCCCTTTGATCAGTCAGCAGAAGTGACCCATGATCCAGTGTCATGCCTCCTCCTGGAGGGTCTGTGAGCACAAGCAGAAAGTCTGTCCTTTTGGCCATGTTCCACATATATGTTTGTTTTTTTCAAGTGCAACCTTACTACTGACTGGCATTATCTTTAAGTACTTGAGTGTGTTATCTTATTTTGTTCTGACAATCACTAGAAGATTAGGGGTCCAAATCAAGATCTTTCATGAAAACACTAAGTAATATGAATAAAAATGGAGGAGGTGAAGAAAATAAATATCAAAATTCAAATCAAGCAGAACCATGGTAATTTCTTTTCTCTAATAATCTTTATTTTATCAATGTATGATAAGAACAGAGGAGCATGTATTAGTATGCTGCCATAAGACAATACCACAGATGGGTGGCTTAAAGGACAGAAATTTATTTTTCACGGTTCTGGAGGCTGGAAGTCTGAGATCAGAGCATGGGCGTGGTTGGTTTCTGATTAGAGATCTCTTTGTGCCCTACAGACAGCTGACTCCTCACTGTGTCCCCATATGTTAGAGAGAGAGCAAACTAGCTGGTGTATCTTCTTATAAGG